CGTATAGTCGTGATGATTCACGGCAGAGCTGGTGCACGGGTGTGCAGAGCGCTGACCTCGATACCTGGAAAGGAAACTGAACTTTCCGAGACTCGTTCTGGAGTTTTAGGAAGCGGCATTCTTTATCGCAGCGCTCGGGGGATTTCTCCTCCTGGCTGCACACCCGGCTTCTGGACAGAAAATTAGTTATACACGACAATCATGCATAATTCAGAACGTATTTACATATTCTGAAACAATTGGTTAATTTTATCTCGTTTTACATGTAAATCACTTTGCATGCTCAGTTCTCTTCCTCCTTTATTCCCCTTTCTTTTGGGTCTGGGATGTATTTAGGGCAAGTGGTCCGTGAGTCGGTGGGTGCGATCTCCCCCGGCCAGAATTCCCTTTTCCCCCAAATCACTGCATGTTCACAGCTCGGAAAAACACGAGAACAAAGTTTATGCCGTTTCTGGGATGTTCCCTCCAAGCGCAGACAGCTCTGGATAGTCTCCTTTTTAATCACTGCTGGCAGCTTCAAGGATGGACATCTCGTTAGTTTCTTTAGGTGTGTGTGCATCACCTACTGCCGACTGAACCCTTCATGAAACTCTTGCACAAAAACTTTAACCCCTTTATTGTCGGGTAACAACCTGTCGCTGCCTGGCTCCCTGCAGAGGCTGAAGGCTGCGGTTCACTACACGGTCGGCCGCCTGTGCCAGGATGTCGCGGAGGACAAGGACGTGCAGTTCAGCAAACAAACCATCGCGGCGATTTCAGAGATCACCTTCAGGCAGTGCGGTACAGAACTTTGCGTGTTATCTGTTTGTTCAAGAGCAGTTGCTGCAGAAACGATGCTTTTATAAAAAAAACAGCGCTGGAACTAGGTATCACTGGTGCATTGCTTCTTGCATGATGTTTTTAAAAGCATAAGAAGTGATGATTCGATCTTTCAGACCCAGAAAAAGAGTTTAAATGTACATGGAAGTATTGTGTGGGTCGCCTGCCTGTGCAACAGAGTGGCCCGTAATAAGAAGTTATGGTCACTTCTCATAAATAACTTGAATAATTTGCAGTTGTGCCCTTGTAACAACTAGAACTGTTTTCTGTGTCTCTTCCTACTCAGAGTTAGCATTTTAAAATATGTGGCATCTTTGTGTTTTCTCCAGACAACTTTGCAAAAGACCTCGAAATGTTTGCAAGGTAGGTACTGGAACACCTGATTGTTACAAAAGCTTTCTCTTTTTTGTATTCAGCTCCAATAACTAGATAATCTTTAAAATACATCTTGTAATTCAAGTTCTAAAGGGTTCTATTAGCTGGTTAAATAGTGACTGTGAAGTTAGGAAATAGATATTCCACTGTAGGTTCTTCCTGATCTCAGAAGTTCGTTTAAATGGTACAAGTGACTGTTTAGGTTAATGACTGTATATAATTATCAAATGCACTGATACATGCCAGCACTGGAAGGTTTGGGAGTGACACAGGCTTACTAGCATGCCTATGTTTCATCTGGTTGCTCCAAGGAGGTGAGGGAATTAATGTTTTAAGGAGTCAGAACTTAACACAGTGATCTACTGGCAAGTAAGAGGGAATGGAACAGTGGTGCTTGATGTTCTGTTTGCGAAATTCTACTGTGTTTTCACAGGAAGTGTGGGCATTTAGATATACACATACAAACTTGTAAAGTAGATTTTTGTGTATTATAGTTGGAAAAGATAGGCATGTTTGGTTTACTGGGTCCGTATTAAGCTCTTCTAGTTAGTATTTTTAATTAGATGCTGTAGGGCCTCTTACAACCAATGCTGGCAAACACATTAAGGGGTATTTTTTAATTTTATGCAGGCATGCAAAACGAAGCACAGTCACTACAGAAGATGTGAAGCTTTTGGCTAGAAGGAGCAATTCTTTGGTGAGATTCACTGTTATTTTCTGTCTCACAATGTTCTTAAACAATTTGTTAATTCCTTAGAGCATTTGAATGAAGTCTATAGATGATGAAGCAACTGTCGCTTAAGCGATTTCACTGGCTTATAGATGATGGATGGGCACGATCCAGGGATTTTTAAATTTTCATCTTATTTTGCTTCATGACGCTGTGCCTTACTGTGGGAAGACAGATCTGACTGCAATTCAAGCAGCAATGTTCTGGTTGCGATAAAGCTGCTGAGGTTCCAAGTGCAAAAGTGCCATAAACAGACACATTACAGCATTCACAATCTTGGAAGTAAATAACTTCGGTTTTACTTAATGTCGTGTTTCTTTTTTTTATCCTAAGGTCAGGAATAGCTTGAGTCCACCTTGAGGTGCTAAGTCTCCCAACATTAATATAGAGATGATTCACATTGTTGTATTCTGTCATGTGCTAATCCATATGATGTTCAGTGGACTTAAATTCACTAATGTATTAAGGCATACCTGTAAATGCTTCCATGAAGAATATTTCCAATACTAATTTTATGTGAGGGGATTTTTTCCTTCCATCTGTGACTTGATATATGCAACATGAACATGCCTGAGAAGGCATAGTAACTGCTGGAGCTGAATTTTGTATCGCTATCGTGTGCTGTTTATGTCGAGTGGGTGCAGAGGAATGAGGAATCTTGCAATGTTTCTGTACTCGGATTGTATCACTACAACTTTGAGTAACTGCTGATGTTGCCGTCTTGGTTCTAGGGATGGTTGTAACGTATGCTTATAAATTCTAGTCTTGCCAGGGCATTTCAGTATCTGAGTATATCCAGCTTAGACTGAGGGCTTCGTGCAAGAATTAAAACTAGTTGATGTTTGTGTCATGGTTTAATCCCAGCTGGCAATTAAGCACCACAAGCTGCTTACTCACTCCTTCCCAGTGGGATGGGGGAAAGAATCGAAAGAGTAAAAATGAGAAAACTCATGGGCTGAGATAAAGACGGTTTAATAGGTAAAGCAA